GTTTACTGAGTGCCAGGAGCTTTGCTGAGAGCAGTTGTTCCAGCAGTAGCAATACCATGGCCATGGCAGTAATAGTGACAACAGCAGCCACCAGTTACTGCCAGGCACTGTTCCCAGTGCTTTACCCGTATTAATTCATCAGTCCTCACTACCTATGAGTTAGATGCTGGCAATTACTATGTCCAACGTATAGATGAGGAAATTGAAGCGAAGAGAGGTGAAGTACTTGTCTGAGGTCCCACAGCTGGTAAGTGGAAGAGCTGGGATTCTAATCCAGGCCCTCCCTGCCCCACAGCAGCACCAGCCTCCCCAGGGAGGCTTTATAAAGCATAAAGTGCGATGCACACATGTGGGGAGGATGAATGTAGCCCCGGATGCTGGGTAGACAGTAGGTATCCAATAAATGTTGATGTGGAAGAGAAAACTAAGGCCAATGGTTCTTCCTACCTGCTGTCCCTCTGGACAGGGGGCCCTACCTGAGGATGCTGTAGGTTCCGAGATCCCAGGGTGGGTGCTGCTGCTGGGCTGGGCGGAGTCAAGGCTGGGGCTGAGGGCGGAGGTGGAGGGGAGGGGCTCCTTGGCAGGACTGTCCGGCTCCTGTACCTCCTCTGGGCACAGGTAGACTTCAATGGGCCCTTGGGTGCTCTTGAGATATATCTGCAGGTTCTCCTGGAGGAGGAAGAGAAGCCAGGTCATGGCTCCGGGCAGGTGGACACTCACCTGGGGGTTGGTGTGTATGGATGGACACAGGCGGCTGCTGCTGTCCAGGTACGTGAGCTCAACCCCTGAGCTGGGCACAGGCCTGCTCCAGCTGGCCTGTGGTGGACTCCGCTGTTTCTGCCTGGCCCCATGTCCCTTCTTTTAGGAAGAACACCTTGATTTTCCTTTGGGAAATCACTCCTCCCCCACTCCCAGGTCATGTAGTTTTTGGGGGCATCACCCTTCCCCAACCCCAGCAGGTGACTTGTGATACAGCTGGCAAAGTCAGAGTGACGTGAGTGGTTCAGGGTGGCACATGGCTCAGGTTGATCCAACCAGCATTAGGCCCAGGTCTTTTGCTGGACTTGTGGGAAAGGGAAGCTCCCTCCCACCGGAGTTGTTGAGCTGCTATCATAAAAACTAACTCTGTCACTGCAAGGGGAGAGCTCACCTGGGAATAGAGTCAGCACAGAGGAAAGAAGAGTGAGAGATGGAGAGTGTGAGATAGACCTGAAGTCACAGTTCGAGCACCTGCATCCAGCTGCGCCTCCAATCGCCAAATCTCTCCCCCACTCCCACCCCTGGGATCTGTCACTTGGTCCCCACCACCCTTAAGCCAGATGGACTTGGCTTTCTACTTGTAACCAAGAGTCCTGATACTTGGCCTTCCCACCCCTGCCTCTTCGCTACCATATACCTACAATTTAAGCCATAACTGACTATACACCTGCCATCCCAGCACACGCCTGTGTGCGTGCAGTACTACACATAGCAAAAATCCTATTCATTCTTTAAGACCTAGTTTAACTGTCACCATCTGGGTTGCTTCCTCTAACTATTCTTTCTCTATGCTCTGAGAGCACAACTTCAGCCTACAAATGATAACATCACTGTTTGCTTGGGTCTTTTTCCCTCTAGATCCTGAACTCCTCCAAGGAAGGAAGGGCCTTAATTATTTCTGCAGCCCCAGTTCCTGCTTTAAACAAATTATTTCTTGAGCCCTTATAATGTGCCAGGCCCTGGGCTGGGGATACAAGGTGAGCGGAACATTCTCTTGTGAAATTTACACTGTAATAAATCATGTAATCATACCAAACATATCCCAGCAAATGGAGATTAGTGGTGGAGAAGCACAGGTAGTTAAAAAGTCTAGAGGTGATCAGGGAAGGCTTCCTTGAGAAAGTGACATTCAGGTTGAGACCTGTAGGATGAATAGCAATAAACCAGGCAGAGAGACAGAAGAGCATTTCAGCTGGAGGGAACAGCATATGTGACGGTCTTGCATGAGGAATGAGCTTAGTGTGATAGGGAGAGTGCAGACAGGTCAGTGTCGGCATGGGGAACGAGGCAGCATGGAAGAGGAGGTTGTTAAGGTCAGCTGGGGTCAGAGCGCCGCAGGTCTCATAGGGAGTGTTAAGAATTTTAAACTTTAATGGGGAGAGCATGGTTAGCATGAAAGCGTTGTGTGACTACTGACATCATTGTGTGTCGGAACATGTGTACATGTGCGCAGGAACCCAGGGCTGGTGGGACGCAGAAGGAAACCAAGAACAGAGATTTTCTCAGGCCAGTACTCGGTCTCCGTTGCCTTTCCCTGTTTCTGCCATTTCTGCCCAAGTTTGAAGGCCACCAATATTGCCATGGACACCAGAATGGACCCAGGAAGCTTGGCGCTGGGCAGGGCCAGGAACAGAGTCTGCAGAGATGCCTGGGACCCTCCCAACCCTGGTTTTCACCACATATTTTCCCTCTCACCTCAGGCTTGTCGGGCACTTCCAGTCTGGTCTGTGGAGGGGCCTTGACAGCAATCACCGTCTGCTCCTTAAAGTTGCCAATGGCACGGATGTCCTGGTAAGTCACGTAGGCCAGTGTAGGAGCAGGAGAGTCAAGAAAAGGGACTGTCTGGTCAGAAATTCAAATCCCCAGCCTGCCAGGGGATTCACCCTCCTCTCCTAAGCCTCTGAACATCACTTTCTCACTCCTTGTGCATCTTAGAAATAACTGGCATCTGTAACCTGTTCTTTTAATATAAACTAACCTTGGATCCCTTTAGAAAGCAAATGGAGGTATAAATCATTTTAAAAATGCTGCCTTCTATAAGCTTTTTATGTAAAGGCTTCATCTCTCAAACTAGATCATTAGCTCTAAGAAGGAAGGAAGATATGTTTTATTTCTTTATATTTCTGACAAGACCTAGCATCTTTCCAAAAATACAAGGTCAGATCAAAACCCAATTAGACACAAAACCATTTGGGAAAATGTACAAAAGAGCCTTAGTAAAGTCCATGCTCTTTGACCTCATCATTTCAATCCTAGGAATCCAAACTAGGAAAATAAGTGAAGATAGATGAAAATGTTCTATATACAAAGATAGTCATCTCTATGCTGCCAATAAAAGCGTTATCTTGATCTAAATAACCATTCTAGGCCTTATCAACAAAACAGTGTGCAGTCTGAATGGGACAGCCTCAAACCATTAAATGAGGTTGAACCATATGAAATTGCTTATTTGTAGGTAAAACGTGGTCAAATATCAGCAATTTCATGTGGTCAACCAAGTGGTTAGGAAAGATGTAGTAATAGAAAAATGTCTGGTAATATACTAAGTGGAGAAAAGCAGGATAAAAATGTCATGTACAGTGGGCACACAACTGTATTTAAGTGACACACACCCTGTGTCTTAAGGTGGTAGCTCATTGTGTCTTCTTTCTCCATTTTCCAGATTTAAAGACATGTACTTGGCTCATTTTTTTTTTTTTTTTTTTTGAAAAAAAAGCCCACCCTGTTGCCCGGGCTAGAGTGCCGTGGCATCAGCCTAGCTCACAGCAACCTCAAACTCCTGGGCTCAAGCCATCCTTCTGCCTCAGCCTCCCAAGTAGCTGGGACTACAGGCATGCACCACCATGCCCAGCTAATTTTTTTCTATATATTTTTAGTTGTCTGACTAATTTCTTTCTATTTTTAATAGAGACAGGGTCTCGCTCTTGCTCAGGCTGGTCTCAGACTCCTGAGCTCAAACGATCCGCCCGCCTCAGCCTCCCAGAGTGCTAGGATTACAGACGTGAGCCACCGCGCCTGGCCTACTTGGCTCATTTTTAAGGAGAATGTAACTTAAATAGACTTGAAAGGAAAAGCCACTGAGGAAGGAAGAAACAGAGATGCCAAATCCTGAGTGTGAGTTAGTCCCTACAGGGAAGTACTGCATCAACTCAGGATGGATATAAACAAACAACAGGCCCCTGCTCTCTGCCCCCCGCCCCCACCAAGGAGGATATCTCTTGTTGGCCTTGTCCTCAGTCAGGTGCTTGAAGTTCAGGGAGCAGCTCTGAATGAGCTGATCCAGGGCCTGCTCCATGCCCATCAGCTCCTTCAGCTCCTGCCCCAGTTGTTGCTGCTTCCCGGGGTGCGTGGGGTCTTCAAATAGTCCCCTGCCTCTGGGAACAGAGAAGCCCCCCCAGTGTCAGTCTCAGTCCACATCCAGAGATCCCAACCCCAGGGCTGCTGTGCAGAGCTGAACAGGTGGTGTGGGTGAGAGTCCAGGAGGAGGCCCTTCAAATGGTCTGTGAGGGTGCCCCAGAGTCCTGCAACTCGGTGGTCATGCTTAGCTCCTGGGGAGCTGCCAGGGCTTGGAACTTGAGGTTTGGGGGTAGGGCTAGGGAGAGGAAACAAGTCAAGGCCTAAACCCCACTTCTGGGGGGCTCTCAACTGTCTATCCTTATGCCCCAACCTCCCCTAGATGGTAGGGAACTGGGGTGATCTCAGTCCTGACTCCCCTGCATGCATTCTCTTAGGGATCAAGCCAGGGGCTGCACGTCTGCTGTTTAAGATCTTGCAGAAGTGGGGAGAGGAGGCTGGAGCACTGTATGTTAGAGCTGGAAAGAATCCGGGTTACTCCTACTTAGCTCTCAGGGGACTTCCTAAGCTAAAAGAGGGGATCTTGGGATCCCTGACTCAGGAGGAAGAATCTGGGGTACTCTTAGGCCTTTACATCTCCTAGAAATCTTTCTCCACCCTGTCCCCAACCCACCTTTACTCTAGCAGGTACACCCGCTCTTCCACCCCTCCGTAAAACACATCGGCTGCGCTCCCAGCACACAAGCCCATTGGACATCGCTCTCAGCCCCGCCCCTGACACTCACACCCACTGGCTATTGCCCCTGGCTTCGCCCACAGCACAGCACCCATTGGACGGGGCCACGGGCCCGCCCAGGCACTCACACCCACTGGATGTTGTTCTTGGACTTCTTGCGGATGAGCTGGATGCCCTCCAGCACGTTGGTGATGTCATAGATGCGCCGCTTCTGCACATCCAGCACCTCCGCCGCCCAGTTCAGGTCCAGGACCCCGTCCTCGGACTCACTCAGGAGGTAAATGAACTTCTTGGTGAGCAGCCCCAGCGACGTGTCATACCGAGTCTTCTCCCCAGGGGACTTGGGGGCTGAGGAAGAAAGGGGCCCAGTCACAGCTCAGGGAGAGCCAGTCCTTGGAACTTCTTCCACTGACCTGGACCCACTGAGCACCACCTTTCACTGCCCTTCACCAACCACTTTCCAGTTTCCAGAGCACTGTGAGGCAGGTGTGGGTCACCACCATTGTGCACAGGGAACCTGATACCTAAGAGGGAAGGTGACTTGCTTAAGGTCTCACAGCCAGGGGGCAGTGTCAGAACTGGAAGGCCAGCGTCCTGCCTCCTGCTTCAGAGCACCTCTCCGCCACAGCCTAGCGCAGCCACACCACTACCCACAACTGTAACTGCTTGCTGTGTGCAGGTCCTTGTTCTAATGCTTTCCATATACTAACAAGCTTAACACCCTACATAAGGTTGGTATACAACCATCCCCATTTTATAGATGAGAATACTGAGGCACAGACAGGTGTAACTTGCTCAGCTCACTCAATTAGCAAGTGGCAAAGGTGGGATTTCAAATCCAGGTAGTTTGGCTCCAGAGTCTTCCTTCTTAACCATTACCCTATCCTGATAGTTATACGTCAGGAATTTGGAATGAGGGTGGGGAAAGAAGGACGAGCCTGGATTCAAGAACACTTTTATAGACACACACTTGCTTTTTCATGTTTAGCCCAGTGATTATCTGAGAAGAATCAGTCCAGCAGGGTAGGTTCATGAAAAAGGTCCCTTTCTCAATGAGGTCGATGTTGCAAGACCCCATCTCAGCTGCAGCATCTTAAACCGCAAGGAGACTTTTGCAATCATGTGACTTCCAAGTCATATAGCAATTTAGTGGCCAAATAGTTCTGGAACCTGAGTTTTAGAGAGTCTCAGATTCCTCTGGAAAGGGACGTTAGCATTCCTTAACACATAGATGGTGAGCATTTGGCATACTGCTTTGACAGGTTTTGTGCCCATGGCAGACATTACTAATTGATCGGTGTACTTTTTTCACAAGCCATCATGAACCTTAGGATCCTTCAATACAGTGATCTGCGTGGCCTCTACCAATCAAATGGAGGGAAACTTCCTTGCCATTCCTCATCTAGCTGTGTCTCCTTTTACAGATGAGACAACTAAGGTTCACAGGAGTGAGCAGTCAGGTCAGGGCAGAGCCTTCTTCATTGTCTCCAACCCCCAAAACTAGTGCTCCTCCCAAACACAGCTGGTTACACTCCCGTCCTAACCAGGATATTGACTGGAAATATGGAGAGGCACCACCTGGGCAGCTTCTGGATCTTGAACACCTCTGAGGTGGCACAGGCTGGATTAACCCAGGCTTCGTTTCCCTTTGAATCACTTAAACTCTGTCTGCATGTGAGAGAAAGACCCTGGTTAGCCCCTGCTCCTCTGACCTGGATTTTCTGTTTTACAAAAGTTCACATTGAACTACATGTGAAAACTTTTTAAAACTAGTAAGCTCCCAAACAGAACACTGGTCATCACACTGAGATCATGAGAGCAGTGTATGGCATGGTAGTAGTGCCAGACATACATGTCAGTAAGTAGTGCCTGATTCTGCTTGCTAGCTGTGTGGCTGTGAGCAACTCAGGCTGAGGCTTAAGTTGCCTCATCAGTAAAAGGGCAACAGTCCTTACCTACCTGGCAGGATCAAGTGAGAGGATGCCCAGCAAGCTTGCAAACCAGAAAGTGATAGAAATATTACTCCTGACGGCTTGGGCAGGGCTGCTGCCCTCTGCCCCTGCCCTGCCTCCCACCTCCAGATGTGCCATCAGCACTGCTTACTTTTGGGGCTAGGGAGACCATCCATTCTGATGCACTTCCCCTTGGGAGTTCGGAATTCAGGGACTGCAGGCCTCCCGATCCCCTCTAGGTCCAGCTTCCTTTTGGCCTTGGAGAGAGCGGGGAGAGAGAGGCAGAGTTTGAGAATCATTCTTCCTTTAGCCTTTCCCTGACCTGGGGACCAAAGTACCAAGGCCACCAGCAGCCACCTGTGCACAAGTTCACTACCAGTCCTGGTGCAACACTTCAGTACTTGATAAGGAAATATCAGGGACCTTAGAAGTGAGCTTGCAGGGAGAGGAAGTCCTGTTTTCTGAGGGGCATATAAAACTCCCATCCTTGGGCTGGGTGCGGTGGCTTATGCCTGTGGTCCCAGCTACTCAGGAAGCTGAGGTGGGAAGATCACTTGAGCCAAAGAGTTTGAGGTTACAGTGAGCTACGATGGTGCTCCTGCACTCCAGGCTGGGCAACAGAACAAGACTGTCTCAGAAAACAAAAACGTCATCTGAGGCCCAGGCACTTGAGACTCTACCAAAGCCATTCTGGCCAAAGGCTCAGGGTTCCTTAAAGACAGGCTCCCCACCCCCAGCCTACAGGAGGATGCAGAGAGGAAGCAGTGGGCGGGGCCTAAGCCACATCAGTCTGGGGAAAGGCTCTCCACACAAGCAGCTGGCCCGCCAGACCCAGTGCCCATCATAGCCCCACAGCTGGCCCTTATCAGGGTGGGGCCAGGCATCCACCCAGACTCAGGGGACTTCCTGGCTCAGTGCCACACCCCAGGGAGGTGCCCACATTGAGAAGCAGTGCAAACATCCCCCACCCCCATGTTTGGGCTCCAGCTCAAGGGCCCCAGGGCCTCCTGAATAGACTCCATTTGCCATTCTTTCTATGCTGAGAGGGGCAGACAATGAATCCTTCCCGTGTCTTAAGGATAAGCAGCTGAGCCCCTCTCCCCCTCCCCCTCACTGTTCCCGCCAAGCTTGGGAAACACCTGCTGGGGAAATCAAACCACAGACCCATCTGCTCCTCTCCACCCATCGCCACCCGGCCTAATGAGGCCGAGAGCTGCACTGGCCCGGAAAGGGCCTCTCTCACGGTTAGGGCGGGGCAGGGCCGGGGCACTGGGGCACAGGTTAGAGACCTGGGCTTGGGTCTCCAGCCCCTTTGCAAGCTCACTGTGTGACCTGGGGAAATGCTTGGCATCTAGGAGCCTCAGTTTCCTCTTCTGTAAAATGGGACAGAAAATACCTGCCTCAAGGGGCTACTGTAAGGATTCAAGGTCGTAAAGTCTCAGCCTGTGGCTCAGCACACAATAGGTACTCAGGAAATGCAGAGTCCCTTCCCTAAAATCCAATCTGAGCTCCTCCTGGATACACCCTTCTGGAGGTCATTGAACCCATTTCCTTCCTTCCCCCATCCCCCAGTCCCCCCAGACACCCCTACCCTGGCTTGGACAGAGAGGCCTATTTTGACACTTGGTGGTGAGGTCATGCTCGCCAGGGCTGAGACTTCTAACCGCTGCTTAGCACAGCTGGGCTGACAGGTGTGAGGGTTGGTGACAGCTCTTCCTGCTGTCAATGCCCCTCCCTCCACTCCTGCCCTCCTCCAGGAAGTCTTCCTGGACTGACTTGAGCATCCTGGCTATAACACTCCTCTCCTCTACCCCTACCCAGACCCAGACAGATCCAAACACCTCCCTGCTCATTCCTCTAGAAGTCTCTCTTCAATATTCTTTTTCTGTCCTCCCAGCCGGTGAAATCCTAGAATCTAGGGATGTAGCCCCACCCTGTCACTAAAAAAGGCCCAGTCACTTGCTGAGACCTTCCAGATGCCCTGAGCCAAGCCCAACATTCCTCACCTCACTGAATCTTCCCAACACCACTAATCCCCATGGTACAGCTAAAGGAACTGAGGCTTGGTGAGCTCCAAGGCCTTTATCAATCCTGATCAAGGGTGTCCATCCCAGGGTTCTTCATCTAGCCCTCAGAAGGAATGCCAAGGGCAGGGACAGGAAAGGGAGTTCCACCTGAGGCCGAGGTGGGGCAGCCCAGAGTCTCCCTAGCCACACCCACCTCCTCTACCAGAACACACCAGGAAGAACCTCATTACCTGGGAAGGACCTTGAACAGAATACCTGTGCTGGGCCTATCACATAACAGTCCTGCCGTGTCAGCATTGGCAATCTCTCTTGGCACACAAGAAGTGGAGACTCAGGGAGGTTAAGCAGCATGGCCAAGATCACACAAAGGGCAGAGCCCGGATTTGCACCCAGGTCTGTCTGACTCCAAAGCCACATAGCAGGCTGCCTCGGGTCTGTCCCACACAATTTCCCCAGGATTTGCTGGAAATGGGGCCAAGGCCTGGCTGTGCCCACCTGCCCCCATCACTACACATATACATACACAGTCTCCCTCACCCTTATCCTTTGCTCCCAGGGTCCCTAAGCAGCAAAGTTTGCCCCTAAAGATGCCTCCCTGACACCTTTGGGCACGGCCCAGAGGAAAGTCGGCCTATGGATGGGCTGAGCCTGCAGAACAGAGGTGGCAGAGGACAAGTCCAGGAGGACAAGCATTACAGAGAGGCTGAGCACAGGCCTTCGAGTCAGACCAGCCTGGGTTCGCATCCAGGTATCCCCCTTCTTAGCTGGGAAGTCAGTTGTCCTCTTGAGACACTTGTAAAATGGTTATGACCCTCTCCACCTCTGCTGAGGATTCAGCGAGACTGTGCAGCCCACAGCCAGTGCTCCTGCAGGGGAGCTGCCAGCACTAAAACACTGGGGGCACCAGCACAGGGAAAGTTCAAGGGTAAGCGGAAAAGAGACAGCGATGGGCCAAGGAGAGCAAAGGTTCGTGGCCACACCCAGAGGCTGGCTTGGCTCTAACCTGGACCCTCTTAGGCAGCCCCTTTGGCTGGATCTCAACAGTCTGGTTAGGATTCAAGCCCATCCTGCCAAGCCCTAGAAAGAAGAGCACAGCTCCTTCCTCAGGCAGTCCCAGGAGGGGAGTGGGTCAGAGCTCCCCAGGCACAACCCCCTTACAGGCAGCAAAGTGAGGAACCCGGGGCTTGGAGAAGGGGAAGTGACTTGCCCAAGGTCACCCGCAGAGTGGACCAGGTCTCTCCAAGCTAGATGGTGGGGGCAGGAGCAAACGTAAGGAATGAGCATCACTTTCAGATCCCAGCTCTGCCAGCTGGACAGCTGGGATTCTGACCCTACATTTCCTCATCTGACCTGCTTTGTAGAGTTGTTCATTGAAATGTATATTTTCTTTCACGTTTCTCAGAGGAAATTTGGAAAATACAGACAAATTAAAACAAAAGGAGAACTGTGCTGAATCCCACTATCTTTGTAGGTTCTTGCAGGGATGAAACAGAATAATGCTATGTGCCTGGCCAGAGTAGGGACTCAACAAAGGAGCATCCCCCGAGCCTTCTCCAGAGGGTGCTGGAAAGAGCACTGGACAGGGAGAGAGGAGGCCTAGGTTGTGGCCTTCATTCTGCCATTGAACTTGGTTGCCATCCCTGGACGGTGCCTGAGGTCCCTTTAAACAGTAGCTCCCCAACAAATCCTGCTCACCCTGTACTTTGCAGCCTGGCCACAAAGCAAGCGGCCACACCCAGGGTTGGGTTTGGGGCTGCTCCAGGTCACACCCTTGTAAAATGAGTAAGCAGAAGGCAGGTCTGCCCATGGGGCTGGGCCCTGGGAATCTGGGGGACTGACAGGAAAGGGAGCGCTGAGCCTGGAAGATCTTTAGGGTGGTCTAGTACAGGGAGATGCCCCTGCTTTTTGGCTTGTGACCCAGGCAAGTGACTTCACTTGTCTTCTCAGTTTCCTCATCTGCAAGGTGCCTCTTCCTGGGCATCTGGACCAAGATAATGAATGTGAAGAGTGCCAAGCAGTGCCTGGCACACGAGAGGCGTTCAGTAAAAGAGAGCCATTCTTGCTAAGACCACTGAGCCCCTCTGGGAGGGAGGTATGGACAAATGCACTTGGGCTCCTTTGGGAGGGTTCAAAGCAGTTCAAAAGCACAGCTGTTACTGAAACTTCGTGTCTGAAAGCAGCTGGCCAGAGGAGAGATTGGGCCTGCCACCCAAGCCCTCTTCCCTAGGGCAACCCAGCTCCTAAGTCAGGCATATTGGGGAAAGTCAACGCTGCCTAGAGAGCAGACTACTGATCACTTGCCTTGGGGAGAGGGTCACTCCATCCCATCTTCCTGTCTGACCTTAGGTTACATACCCTCCCTGAGCCCGTTTCCTCCTGTCACATGGAGCTACTAATGCTGTCTTCTTCACAGGCTACAAAAATATTTTTGGCTTTAAAATGCTGAACACAAGATACCCAGTCCCAGTTATCCTCGATTGCTTGACCTGTAAAACGGGGATAATAGCACTCCTGCCTGTTGCCCACCTAGTTGGAAATAATGTGCAGGAAGGGACTCTGGAAAGGTTAAAGCTTTCAACATGGGCAAAACCTGATTCCAGTGGCAGGGCGTGGGGGCTCTGCCTGAGGATCGGTGCCTGCTGACTGGCACAGGTCCCACCAGATGCCTCTGGGGTAGGGGGAGGGGGGTGATCTTATCCATGCACCCAAACTTATTCACCACACCCACAACTAAGCACATCAACAACATCCCCATCTCCTCTCCCTGGAGCCTGGAGCCTGTTTCCAAAACCCAACACCTGGACCTGGAAGTGACCAAGATGAGCTAGCCCCACAGCCACCCCATGCACACATGCATTTTCAGGAAGAGGAAACTGACGCCCAGTCTGGGGTCAAGCCTTGTCCAGGGATGCACAGTAAATTAGTGGCAGAGTCAGGACCAGAAACCAGGCTCCCCAACCCCCCCACCCGCACTCCCCCAGGGCTTTTCCCACCCCGCCCCCACCCTAAAGTTGTTTCGATTAACACAGGCCCCAGGAATTCCACTCCCACAAAACAAACCCTGTGCCAAGGTAGGCAACCTGGTGCTATCACACTTTGGGCCCTCTCTGGCAACAGGCCTGGGGGCTTGAGGTGGGCATAGTCAATCTGAACAGAATCCCAGGGGGCTGCCCACATTTGTATCTGCTACTGGCTGCCTGGGAAGGAAGACTGGGCCTGGGAAGGACCTGGGGACAGATACTCGGGAAGGAGTTGGCTAGATGGACAATTTGGAGTCTGTCCAAGCCAGACTGGACCTGAGAGACCCACTAGACCTATCCCTCTGTCTTAAAGTCTCACAGTATCCCCAGGCCAATAGCAGGTGCCCAGTACTGGTTTCTGGGCCAAACAATGAAGGAATGAATCAATGCGACAGTGTTGGCTACATGGGCTTCCCCAAGGTCACATCCAGGAACACAATCCAGTGCTCATTCCAGTCCATTCCAGTGGATGAGATTATTTCATCCAAAGTTTGAAAATGAAGGGGTCTTCTACTCAGATATCGGGCGCAGTGGGTTGTTCTGCTCATTTCCCCCCTCCTCAAAACTCTACCTGCTTGATTCAAACGGGGAGTCGGGCGCCCCTCCCTCCTTTCCCATACCCGGAAAAGCACAGGGGGATGCAGCAGGGGTTCCCAGCATTACCGGCAGCCGGCCTGCCGGCACGCATCGCACAGCTTGGCTCTCCGGTCCGTGGGGAGTGGCGTCCAGGCAGGTGCCCGGCGCCGCTGCGGGAGGCACTGTCTGCGGGTACAGCGCGGTGTAGTAGGTGGTGGTGGCCTGGCAGAGCTGGGGGCTGCTGAGCCCAGGCGGCCACAGCTCGGTGGGGCTCATCGCGGGCACCCCCTTTGGGGGCTGCCCAGCAGCCGGAGCCAGGACCCGGGGCCCTCGCAGCATGGCGAGTGCGGCGCCCCTCCCCGACCCGGCCTGGAGCGCCCGCGGGCACCTGCCGGCTCTGGAGCCTGCAGCCGCTCACACGGCCCGCGGCATGGCGCGGAGGCCGGGGAAGCCGCCAGTGGCCGCCTGCGGGGCAAGGCCGGACCCTCCCCTCCTGGCCCGGGGCCGAGCTGAGCAGCGCTTGGAGATCGCCGGGCGGCTGCGGTGGCGGCACTGCCAGGGGCTGTCCCGCCCCGAGGGCGGCCGCGACCTGGGACGGCCCGGCGCCCCCGAAGGCCTCAGCGGCTGGGGTCCCGCCCGCCCTGGGCGGGGGTCTCCGGGGTGTCTGCGAGCTCGGCGGAGGCACGATGCGCTCGGATGGGGGAAGGGGGTCCCAACTGCACCGGCTCCCTCTCGGCTCGCTATCTAGTCTCCGAGCCTTTCTCTGCCTCTTTTTTTTCCTCTTTTTTTTTTTTAGCGCCAAACTGCGTGCCGCGAAATTCAGATCTCCCGCGGAAAATGCCGCGCTTTGGTTGGCTGCCGCAACATGTACAGGCTCCACCCCCCGGAAAGGACCCGTCCTCGAGGCGGCGATTGCAACACGAGCTTCTCTCACTCCTTAAAGGGGCCGCCACACCTGCTGTCAGTGTCGGCGGGCGTTCTGGGCGCTAGCAGCTGGGGAAACTGAGATGGGGGTGGTTCCAGGATGCACAATGCAAAGAGGGTTAGAGAGGTGCAGAGTGCGCTGAGAACCGGGCCCAAGTTCCCTGGAGGTCGGGGAAGACATTTTGGTGTGGAGTCCTGACCCGAGCTCAGACTCAGCATTGCATTCCCCAGGCCACAGAGCCTTTTGTTTGCTTTGATGCTTAGCTAGCACATACACGTTGATATCCCGTTTCCCGCTAAAATGAAGGCCAGGAACCTGTTCCTTTTCTTGGCAGGGGGGTGAGGGAGGAGCCTAACATTTATACCTCTTTCTAGGGAAAACTAACATCTATTTAGCATCTTCAGTATGCCAAGCACCCTGCTAGATCATTACATGTGTTGTTTTATTTAATTTACTCCAATAGTCCTGGGAAGGGGATGGTGACCCCCGTGGTAAAGATGGAGAGTATGAGAGGAGAGTATGCCTAACTTGCCCAAGATTATAAAGATCCCCTGATTCGAGATCTGGCAGTCAAATCTGGGACAGTCCAGCTCAGAGCTCCTGTTTGTTCCAGTAAAGTGTTTCTCCCCGACACTCACAAGTGGTGCCCTGCCCCTTGCAGGCACAGCAAGGGTGAGGGTCCAGAGCGCGGTGCTCTGCCTTGTTCACAGTTGTATTCCTAGGACCCAACACTCAGTAAATATTTGAACATCTCCAGGTTTCTCCTAAACAATCTTTTTGTCGGAAGAGCTTCCTGCCTCATTCAAAAACCTTCATTGCTGATAATCCATTTACATTCCGCATCTCTCCAGTGCAGAGAGGCTCAGCAAAGCCACCTTGGGCAGCGAGTGGCAGAGCTGCTCAAAGCTGCTACGAGATTCCAGGTCTGCCAATTACCGCCCGGTGCTGCGCGATTTTTATGTAAGTCTGAGACTTGGGATTCAAAGCCCCCCAGAGTCAGTCCACAGCTTAATACCTTATCAGATCAATCACTGACAAGGTGGCAACAATGCATTATGATTAACCAACAGCTCTGGATTCACACCCAGGCCCTGCCCCTTTTCTATTAATAGCTGTGTGACCCAGGCAAGTTTTATAAACTCTCTGAGCCTTGATTTTCTCATCCTAATAACTCTTTCCTCATGGGATAGTAGGGAAATCTCATGAAATAATGCATGTAAAGCTTTCAGCACAGACCCTGGTTCATAAGGAGCCTCCAGAATTGGCAGCAGTTGTTACATCTCTGACCTTATCTGCAGTGCATAGACCCATTTACTGTAGTCTCCATGTCTCACTGGTCTTTTGAGGCCCAGCTTAAACCTCATCTCCTCCAGGAAGCCTTCCCTGACTGCTTCCTCTTTCAGCCAGGGTAAGTACCTCTTGGCCTCTTTGGACCCTTAGTGTGTTCTGCCTCAACAAACAAGGCTTTGTTTTCATACCTTGTTTATCAGTTAGGTTCTAAGCTCCCTCAAAAGTCTAGGTCAGATGCCTCTTTGAATGCCCCTCAGCATCTAGGGCCTGGCTTGGTATGTAGAAGGTGGGTAATAAATATTGATTCACTCATGTGTCTAGAAAAGAGTAGCAGAAGTTAACGAGCTCTGAAATCAGAAAGTCAGGAGGGCCCAATTAAGTTGCTGTCTACTTCCTACCTGAGTGACCCTGGACAGCTGCTGCTCTACCTCCCTTAACCTCAGTTTCCTCAACCATCAAATACAGATAATGCTATCACTCAGCCTATTTCACAGCACATCAGAGACATTAAAATGACAGTGGTGATGGTGATCGCTAATATTCACTGAGAATCTACCATATGCTGGGCTCTAAGCACTTTGTCCTGAACATCTCTTCTGATCCTCACAGCACTGCTCTGAGACAGGCACTATTATTATCCCCATTTTACAGAGAGGGAACCTGGAAGGAATTGTGGCAGAGCAGGTTTGGGAAAGGAGTAGGGCCCCAAGGCCAGGGAGGGAGATGGGGGTGGCAGGGTGGGGCTGGGAGAAAAGAAGGGAGCCGGCGAGGGGGCTGAGAGCCAGTTCTCTACGGTTGAATTTCGGGCAGCTGGGGCTGGCTTTAGAGTTTCACTGCCTGGGAACTAATTCCTGCGAGGGGTGTGGGGCACAGATCTGAAGTCTGCTTCCCTGAGCTTGAATTCCTACCCCATCCATTCCTAGTGTTGTGATCTTGGTCAGGTTGCTGGACCTCTCCGAGCCTCAATTTCCTTATCTTTGAAATGGGGATGGCAAAAGTGACCTCTCCATTGACTGTGAGGACTCAAGAAGGTATTGGCTATAAAGTCCTTAGAGAGGTGCCAGGTGCATATAGTATTTGTATTTTAGCTAAGGTTTGTGTGAAATGGAAGGGGCAGGAGCAAAGAATCCGAGTGAGATATCCAACAAAGCTTCAAATTCCTCGGGAGCAGGACCTAGGCTTTGTTGTCACATTTGTATAATACCTTCCTCCCCTGAGAGTGCCAGGCAGATAGTAGGCCTGCAGTAATTGATGATGATAGCTCCCATTTCATGAGAACTTCCTAGGTGTATACATCCAGTTCGGTATTTTCTATGCATTATTTTGTTGAAACCTCCCAACGACCCTGTAACACAGGTACAGTTTGGACAGATGAGGAAACTGAGACTGAAACATGTAAAGGGACTTGACCAAGAGCTGGTTAAAGATGAAGTCAGGATCTGAACTCAGATCTGTGTCTCCGAAGGCACTGAGCTATTCTGAGCAAAGAACTCAGCCCTAGAACCTCATGCGAAGGAGGGTATATTCTGCCTACAAACCGGGGCCCCAGTGCTGCAGACATCGTTGGGAGGTGGAAAGGGTGCACCCCACAACTGGATGAGTTAAGGATGGTTAGTTCTATTTTCCAGCTGAGGAAGCTGCGACTTGATTTAGGTTAAGATCTGGTTAAGTGAGGATTCCCCCATTCCAGGCAGGCCCAAACAGTCCTTTCCGGAAAAGTCCCCAAACTGAAGCAAACTTTCACATTCCCTCTGCTCCAAGTCTTATTTATCAGAATACGGAATGCTTGATAGAAGTTTCCTGAGGGCACAGACCCCCTGTTCGAGGCTTCCCATGTCACATGAATCCCAAATCACAGAGAACCCGGATCAGAGCTGTGAGAAAGCAGGGAGAAAAATCTCTGCTCCATCTTCTTTGTGCTTCTCCTATTCTACAATAAATATATATTACTTTGGTAATTGGAGGAAAAAAGTTATTAAAAGGAAACAAGGTGTTGTTTCAAAGAAGTTCTCGTGATAACACTTTTACTGGAAAACTGTTGGAAGACAGAATTCATGGACTTTCTAACAGTGACTGGCACATAGTAAATGCTATGTGAATGTTTGTTAAATAAATAAAATTCCTGGCCTTGACACTTCATGAGCTGTGTGCTCTTGGGCGTATCGTTGCATTACTCAGGGCCTCAGTTCCTTCACCTGAGAAATGGAGCTAATCACAGCTGTCTCTTAGAGTTACTCTGATATGAATCTGCAATGGGATTCAAATGTGCTCTGAGTGTGTGTGTGTGTGTACCAAAAATTATTTATTCATTGAGAAGGCAAAAGATTTCGATGGACAGTTCTCCAAAGAAGATATACAGTGGCCAATAAAGAGGCCAGTGAGCACATGAAAAGATGCTTAACATCACTCGTCATTAGGGAAATGCAAATTGAAACCACAATCAGCTACCACTTCACACCCACTAGAATGGCTGTAATAAAAAAAAAAGGACAATAACAAGCATTGGCCAGGATGTGGAGAAACTGCAGCTCTCACGTGTTGCTGGTGGGAATATAAACGGGTGCAGCTGCTTTGGGAAACAGTTTGGCAGCTTTTTGAAAAGATGTACACAGAGGCCGGGCACGGTGGCTCACGCCTGTAATCCTAGCACTCTGGGAGGCCGAGGCGGGCAGATTGTTTGAGCTCAGGAGTTCGAAACCAGCCTGAGCAAGAGCGAGACCCCGTCTCTACTAAAAATAGAAAGAGATTAATCTGACAACTAAAAATATATAGAAAAAATTAGCTGGGCATGGTGGCGCATGCCTGTAGTCCCAGCTACTCGGGAGGCTGAGGCAGAAGGATCACTTGAGCCCGGGAGTTTGAGGTTGCTGTGAGCTAGGCTGACGCCACGGCACTCACTCCAGCCCTGGCAAAAGAGTGAGACTCTGTCTCAAAAAAAAAAAAAAAAAGATGTACACAGAGTTACCATATGACCCAGCAATTCCACTCCTAGGCATATACCCAAGAGAACTGAAAACATATGTCCACACAAAAATGTGTGCACCATAGTAGAACTATTCGAAATAACCAAAAGGTAGAAACAAACCAAATGCCCATTAACTGATGACTGGATAGACAAAATGTG